CTAAAGGTTCATCTATATACGATGCTCTGGGCAGACAAACTCTACTGGATGAAACTTGGAAAAGATTCACCGTGTTACATGAACAGATTATAACAACTACAGACAATAAAGATGAAATTGAAAGAGAAGAAGATTATCGCATACAGTAGATGTAGAGGAAACATACCTCGAGGCAAGAGCTTTATTACAACCATTCTTTGTCACTATTAAGCAAACTGAAGTTGAAAGGAATGTTTCTAGCGAATTAAATGATCCTTATAAATTGAACATACCGAATGTGAGTTTCACACCCTACACAGAAAATGAAACCTTTCGGAATTTCCTAATGCGGTTTAAAAATTTCTTGGATCTAAAACAAATCACAGAGCCGAAAACCAAAACACAACTGTTTGTTAGTACTCTTACACCCGAAATGCATCAGGCATTATGTGACACAATTGCTCCTGAGACACCAGGTGACAAATCGTATGAAGAACTATCAGATATACTGCAAAACTGTTTGGAACCTACTCCAAGTGTACTTGCTAATCAAAATAGGTTCATCAGTAAAGTTCAAGATACTGAAGAGGGAATTTCTACGTACGCTCGAGAATTAAAACGTTTGGCAATTGACTGTGACTTTAAGTGTTACAACTGTGAACATTCAGTCTGTGATCTTGAAGAAGCAATTCGTTTGAGGATTAAGAGATAATGAAGTGAGAGTTAGGCTTCTTCAGGAAAAAGGAAATAAACAATCATTTAAGGAAGTGGTAGAAATGGCTATTTCTATTGAACAATCCAAACTGGAAAGTTATGCAATAAAACCTAAGTACTCTCATTACGTTACAGAACAAACTAAAGATGTTAACTATGTGAGTAAACAACCTGGGTTAACAAGAAAGAGTAGAAATGAAATCAAACCGCATATTACCTTTCAAGATTTAAGAGGTAAATGTTACAGATGCGGCAGTGCTCAACATAAAGCTGATACTTGCAAGTTTAAAAATGAATTTTGTAGGAAGTGTAATAAGATCGGACACATTGCGAATGTTTGTCTTACACGCAATAAGGTTAGCAATGCAAGCGAGAACGCTTACAAGTTAAAATCGAATAAAATTGACGTTGAAGATGATAATGACATTATTATATACATATATTTTACATAAAGAAGGATTTTCATTTCATTATCATTTCATTAGTTTATTCAATTCCACAGTCTAATTCATTATAATGTCTGAAGATACATTACCAGCAACTCTTAATAATCCTATGTTGGTAAGTCAACCTAGATGTGAAAAATTTAACCCTTAATTCATGCGATATTGATGTTTGGAATATTAAATTCAAGGCAAATTTATGTTTGGGCAACATTACAAATGATGATATTAAAAGATGTTTATTCATTGACTGCCTCGATAGTACAGTTCTTAAAACATTTGTAACTATGTGCAAGCCAAAAGAAATTAGTGAATTCACTTATGAACAACTTTATGAACTTTTGGTAAAGCATTTCAAGTCAGTAAAGTTTTAAGTTACCGAAAGAGTAAAATTCTTTTCACTGAAGCAAGGTGTTGAATACTTGTCCACCTTTGGAAATAACTTAAAAGAATTAGCCAGCAGTTGTGATTTCCCTGGTGCCTGGTGACTTTTATCAAGATGCTCTCATTACATGCATTACATGCTCTCATTACTCATAATGGGCATAAATGAAGATTCTATTAGAGATAATTTACTTCAGAAAGATTACACAGATTTCAATACTGTACTTGAATTCGCTAGAACATTAAGATCAGTTTTTACCACTTCAGCAAAGAAAAATCTGATTTCATTTTCCGATTATGAGAAGAGCAATGGAGAGGTTCTAATTACAAATTCAAACTATTTATGCTATTCTTGTGGTGGTAATCATTTTAGGAAACAATGTAGATTTAGAAATGCAATATGTACCTAATAATTGTGATACAAAAGGTCACTTGGCAAAAGTTTGCAAAATTAAAAGTAGAACAGATTTTCAAAACAAAAAAATTGGTGGAGATGGAAAAGGAACGTACAACCGCCGAGTAAATTTCACTGAAAATGAAAAAGGAAGAGATTCTAGAACCGTTATCGACTCTAACATACTTGATTGTTCACCTAAGTTGACAAATGAAGCTATTTTTTATCTTGGTCTTCAGTGTCATAATGTGAGTGTATTTTCTCCAATTTGGGTTTCTATCTGTATCAATAGTATTTTAATTAATATACAACTAGATACAGGAAGTTGTGTTTCTGTTATATGTCGACGAACTTGGGAAAGATTGGGAAAATTTCCTTTGTTACATCCAAATACAAAACTGACATCTTATAGTGGTCATTGCATAAACTTGATTGGTGAACAAACAGTTAAAGTGGCATTCAGCAAAACCAAAAGAGAGCTAAAGCTGTACGTTGGTGAAGGTGGCACTCAGGATCTTTTAGGTAGAGACTTAAAATCAGGATCAAGGAGCTTAAAATCAACAAATTGTCACTTAATTCATTACAAATTGATTCTTTATGGGTTTCAAGGAAGTTGGTGACATTTCAAGGTCAGGGTTTCAAAGTTCACTTCCAAGAATGAGCTTAAGTAAATTAATTGATTATAATAAGGAACTCTTTTGTAACAAAAGCGGCCATTGTACAAAATTCACGGCACACTTAATTTTAAAGGAAGACGCTTCTCCTATTTACAAAAAGGCAAGGCCAGTTCCGTTTCCAATAAAGGACAAAGTGTGCGAGGAAATCGACAGGCTTGTAGAAGCTGATCTGATAGAACCAATTTATTTATTTACCATATGGGTTTGAATGAACCAATGAGAACGGTGCGGTGTTGCCAAATCTAATAATACCAGCTGATTTGAAACTATTGCTTAGTATATTTTAATTAGTGTTGTCAATGGGCGATGTGGCAACGTCGCACTAGCCTTGTCTTGTGATTGGCTGCCACCAACTGCAAACTTATGTGGTCCCGACTGTAATTCTTTTGATTCCAATGATGAGAGACACCATACAATAGTAGCGACAATTCAAACAGAAGTGCAGTCCGAGATTCCCATTACTTGTACTGAAATCGCAAGAAGGTGATGCACTATGTAAAAGTTGGTTGGCCTACTAATTGTCCAGATGAGAACTTGAGGCCTTACTTTTCTAAGAAAGATGCACTGACTCTACATAATAACTGTCTTCTGTGGGGAATAAGAACTGTTATTCCTCCTAAATACAGCACTTACATAATGGACTACTTGCATGAATCTCACAATGGCATGGTCAGAATGAAGTCTGAGGCTCAGGGTCATGTGTGAAAACTGGCCTAAAGAAAGTGAACCTTGGAGTCGAATTCATTTAGATTTTGCTGGACCTTTTTATGGACAAATGTTTCTCTTAGTGATTGACGCTTTCTCAAAATGGCCAGAAATAGTACCTATGTCCTCTATTACAACAGAAAAGACAGTAGAAGCGCTCAAGAATTTGTTGTGTAAATATGGAATACCTAGAACAATCGTCTCAGACAACGGAACTTCATTTACTTCACAAGGTTTTAAAGATTTCTGCCTGCACAATAACATCAAACATATTACGACTCCAGTAGCTCACCCAAGTTCTAATGGACAAGTGGAGAAAAATTTAGATACCTTTAAAAGAGCTCTGAGCAAATTACAGTACAATAAAAAGCCTAGCTTGTTCACAGACAACTTGAGGACATTATTTCGCTATCGAGCTACACCTCACACTGCAACTGGACAAACACCTGCATTTTTGTTCTTGGGTCGTAATCTGCAAACTAAATTACATTTTATCAAACCTTCACAAGAGATAAACCTTCTGAAGTGCTGCGATATAATAAATCCAGAGGCTTTTCCATTGGGAGTAAAGTGTACATTCGTACTTTTGTTGAAGAGAAAGTAAAATGGAAAATAGGAACCATACTTAGACAGTTAGGTAGGAACACATTGATTGATTCTAATGGACACACTAAAAGACATACAAGTCAAATTCGGAAATGCTACCAAGACAATGAATCGGAAGAGGAAGACGACCTCTGCATTAAACAATTACCACAGCTACTGTCCTCTTCAGATTTTCAAATAAAAAATCCAGAAAACCATGGATCACCAGCTGTATTTCCTAGCCCTAGAGCAATCCCTACAGTAGCTTCACAACATCCCAATGTCCCTCCTCAGCTACGAAGATCAATAAGGACCTTCAGGGCTCAGGCCACAGAGGAGGTTAATAGAAGAAGCCTAAACTTGGTGGAAAGAAGTGATATGTTTGTAACATTGTTTAATTGCAGCTGACTTTTAAGTTGTTATTATCATTGTTTTTGTTTCTAGTTTTTGACTCATGAAATAAGTTCAGTTCTATTTTATTAACTAATTTACTAATTTATGTATTTACTTCAAACATAAAAGCTCGTATCATCAGTATCTAATTAATATTTGTTTACATGTATTTATTATCATTCCCACTATTTGTCAGAATACCATTGGCAAGTTTGGCTGAAATATGTTCGGCGGTTATTGCTTGATAATTTAAGAATACGGCGGTGGACCTAGGTATGACTCCGTTATAATTGAAGTTGATCCCAAAGATCTTCGCTCACTAAGCTCAAAAATAACTCTATTACTTCCTTGACATTACCTTCCTTAGTGTCCTGTTTCAGGGCTGGTCACATGGCGAGCAACTACTATAACTAACACACTCCACAGATGAATAAAATGCAAACCATCATCCAACTGCAAATGGCAGCAGTTCTATAACTTAACTAGATGAGCAGAACTAAAAGTAATTAATTTTCACCTGAGTGTGTTCATTTTGGACAAGAGGAGCAACAGGTTGTATTACCTGGACTCCTAATTCTAATTTACCTAACAAAAATTTAGCTAAAAAGCTATCAGACTATTTTTGGAAACATTGTTGGCCAACATTTTCACTTAAAGGGTCAGTATTTTTAATAATTCCAATAAATTGAGAATAGGGGATGAAAGAAACACTCAATAAACACTCAATAAGAAAGAAAAGGATTAATTTGTATTGCTTACAAAAATTCTATATTTTATATCAAGAAATGTGTTTTAATTAAATAAGCCAAATGGATATTTAGTATAGTGCATAAAGAGCATTCAAGGTAGTTTATCTCAGGCTCGTGTCTCTTGGTTTGTAGATGATGCCTCTGCTCTTGAGGTCACGAATCACACCATTTGGAAGTTTACCAGCGACTGAAATGGCATAGATCCCTTTAGTAAATCTATTGATTCTTTGCCACTTAGCTACCCAACTATCTTCTGGACTCATAAGGGCAATCATACTGGAACAAAACAATAGTTATATTTCACAAGAAGTAACAAAGAATTTAACTGATAATTTCAGTGTAGAATCCCCATAAACATTGGTTGGGTTAACACGGACACGACTGGGATAACCTGGGCGACTTCTATTTCTGTACATAGCTATATTTCACAAGAAGTAACAAAGAATTTAACTGATAATTTCAGTGTAGAACACCAAAAAACTTTGGTTGGGTTAACACGGACATGACTGGGATAACCTGGATGACTTCTATTTGTGTACAATCGCCCTGAGGTGACGCACATATTGTATTTATATGCTGTTTCACAGAGGCTGTGTAAGACAGGCACAACTCAACTGGGAGACCTAGGCACGATCAGAAGCAGTTGTCTGCTGGTCACTCTGCTCCGCGACAGGTGGATCAGCATAAATGAAATTTAAACTTAAATACCGTTTCCCATAACCTTATAAATAATCAAACTCATTAATGTGCTGCATTTTTGTATCCCTTTTATGTAAAAACAGACAAACATGCACACTTTGATTTTTACATAGTTACTTCTTGGGAATGAAAAGGAGTTAAATGATCGTCTGCCTGCCCTAACATCTTTTTGACGTACCAACATCTGCATTTGTGTGATAGCCGATGTAGTCACGGGGTGTTGTGACAGTGGGCGTGGGGATTAGCTTATGTAATCAAGAATGGTAGTGACTCAAGTTGCGGGAACATGCGACAAAAATCTAATGTACTGGCCATAATAATGACAAAAGTTTTTTTTTCTGAAAATAAGTTAAGTAAGAAATCTACTTAAACAAAATCTCATAAATAATAAACATATTACTGTTAGGATATCTTATAATGGAGTCTATGTGAAAGTCAACAGTAATATATTATTGTGGGAGTCTGGACAACCTGATGGGCTGAACAAGCAAAACTTAAAATACAGGGACTCAAGACAACTTCTCTGGCTGAAGAGCTATAGCATGCTAACAACATTGCTCTGGTTGAGGCAGATATGAGGGAGTACCTTGAGAAATGTAGAAATGACCAAGAAACTGCTTTCGCTCACACAATATCAAGAGATCTACATCATGACAGGAACATGACAGCGGGTGTGGCTGTTGCTTTCCGTAAGGAATTTGGCAGACCTCAGCCCTCCAACTGCCTTAGTGACTTTTTGGCTTTCCAGGTAAATAAGAATGAGGCAACAGTTTTTAGTCTCATATCCAAGCCAGCCTATGATAGTAAGCCCTCTGTGACTTATTATGACCAAGCTTTTGAAGAGCTAAAAAAGGTTTTTAAAGGGGAAAAAACTTTGCAGACTTATTTGCTCTCCAATGGGCTGCATGCGAGATCTCATTGATCATATTTACATTTTGCAACTAAAATGGTTAATTAAAAAAAACACAAATGCAAAAATAGTAATTGTAACAAATGATCAAAGGACAAGCAGAAGACCACTGTGGAAAGGACTGACTCACACAGAGTTTGTTGATAAATTACAACTGGCTATCAACAAATGTCGATCCTAGGAGAATATACTGCAGATCTCTGGAGTGGGTATCAAGATAAATTCTCCTTGGGGTGCGCCACATTCACCTCCATTAATCCCTGTCTACAGTTCACCTGTTGAGCAGGACCATCAGCAATCTGGTGGATACACAGTCCGTGTTGAATTATCTACAGTCTTCAACAAGCCAGTTTTCTGATGACTTCAATAGCCACATTCCTGACACATCACATCACCACAGAACCCTTAATGTAGGGAATTGTAATCTGACTCAGAGCTATAGTGAGCTCCAGCTTCCATCACAGACTATAATGACAGAGAGATGTGCGATCATTCATTTAATTTCATTTCAAAAATCCACTACACAGGGCTTTGTACTGCTGACTGAATTAACAAACAGTGTATCTAGTGCTCAACAGAGATAGTATTTTCAGGTGGAAATACTGGCTCAGCCTCCAGCATGGTAGTTCAACCACGGCAAGTGCTCCAAGCTATCCCAATTTGTGCCGCCTACTTGTTGCCTCCATTTCCCATGTCCAAAGTCAAATTACAGTCGACTCTCTTGTGGGTGGAGGCGATTCTTGTATTTAATAATTTAGGATGATTTTACAAGACGACCAGGGTATTCATATTTACCTATTTCATTTTAAAATTTACCTATTTCATTTAAAAAGACATAGCCTGAAGACAAAGTGATTTGTTAAGAGCAACTGGTAGGCTCCCAAAATAAAGATGTGAGAAATAAATCAGCTTTCACACTCATTAGCCAATTTTTAGCTGGAGTTATAGAAAACAGTGTTAGAAAAAGGAAGAATATAATAACTGTTCTAACCTACTTACCCGTCAAAATTTGAACTTGTACAGTCATATACATTATCTCGATTATTCTTCATTCTCAAAAATGAATCACAGTTATCACACCCATCAAATTCAAATTGATCAAAAGTCTGAAAACAATTAAAACATGGCAGTAATTGAACTTTGAATGGAACATCTCTAAGAACGATAGCCTAACCTATAAGTTAGTCTTAGGCCCCGAGTACGATACGAGCGGCGAGCGGGCCCGCTCTGACATCGGGTCTCATTTATTTGCGAGTAAATTTGTTGAGGGTGGCCACAATACGTCTAGCGGCGAGCGGCGGTAAGCGGCACTGCTCAGCGCTGCTCATGGTTCCAAGTAAAAACCGATTTTCACAAAAACGCCGCTCACGTGAGTCATGCTTCAGTTCGGCCTAAAATGACAGGGAAACAGCAGCAAACATGCGATACGAGAGGTGCAGTCCAGGGAATGTTTGTTGAATGTCCAGCACGGAAGTTTTCAAACACTTCAGTCCCCAGAAAATTATGGGACCAAGTTAGGGTTTAAGGGTTTCTAAAAGCTAAGTTTTTCTTTAAAGGCAAAAAATTGTCAGATAGCAACAATAGTTGCAATACATCTTGCAGGTAAGCCTAGTTTACCATTTCCGACTAAACTGACTCATAAAACTGGGGAAATCTCATGAGCGTTATAAATGTGCCGCTTGTATCGTAGCCACCACCGCAGACACAGAAAACGTACTACTATAACCCAGAATGCCAACCGCATGGTAAAAAGTATTAAGCGTTTTGAGAGAGCTTTGCCTGTGAATCCGTAGGCAGCGCCACCAGCGTTGCCATGCACTCAGCATAGCAACGCTGGTGGCGCTGCCTACGGATTGACAGGCAAAGCTCTCTCAAAACGCTTAATACTCTTTACCATGCGGTTGGCATTCTGGGTTATAGTAGTACGTTTTCTGTGCCGCCGCTCGTATTGTACCCTGAGGCCTTAAAGCTTCATTAGGAGTTAGTAAGGTTTAACAATACTAGTAGTATGTCTAATGGTACTTATGTTAGGCCTAAGATTAGTTCTATGTCCATTAACCCAAACATCAGCAATGAAGTTAAATCAGTTAAACGAGAATTTCTTTAACAATACTAGTAGTACGTCTAATGGTACTTATGTTAGGCCTAAGATTAGTTCTACGTCCATTAACCCAAACATCAGCAATGAAGTTAAATCAGTTAAACGAGAATTTCACTTATTACCATAATTTTACCCTAATTGGTAAAAAATGCAAAATGATTCTATAAGTTAACTAAAATATTTGTTTACTTATAACATCAATAAAACATCCCAGTCAGATTTATTCCCTTTTAAAAAAATTAAATTAGGTTTAACCTAACTTACAAGGCCTCCATCAAGCATCTTAATTATTATTAATATTTTTTTTTGCTGGAAGACCCTTATGCAAGTAGGTACATTAGCAAAATTGCTTACAATTTAAATGATAAAAAAATAGAATAGGCCCTAGGCCTATGAAATTTACAAGAGAAAAAAAAATAACAAAAACATGTTTTGAAACAAAGCATGCTAGCACAAGAGTACTTCTCTGTTAAAGGCAACATTCATTATTATCGATGATTTTTTCCTCTCGATATATAGAAATTTCTTTTTCTTTACAAACTATATTCCTTCTGTTTTAATATCTTCAAACACATAAATTACAAATTGGTAACTGTTTTTGTTTAGACAAAAAACAGTTCATGTTCATGTTATAACGGTTGTAAAACGGTTTATGTTATAACATGTAGGATTAAGAAATGAAACTGTTCTAAACTAACCAAACTTGCTGAACTATTTATTTCAAAATTCCGTTTGATAACAGAAAAGGCATAAGGGGAATATCAAACGGGATTTTATAATTTATTTTTGTAAAAAAATACAACCGACTTCAAACGCTCTAAAAAGAATGAAATAATTTCAATAAAGTAAACTTTTGTATTAGGCAAGCTCACGTATTTTAAGTCGGCGCGGCTCTATGATGATTTTTGATACAAAATTGAAAGAGGGTGTCTATATTGCAGGTGACTATCTATATTATTGTGTTGGGTGACTAAAGGTGTTAATCTGCATGTCTTTTTCATAGTTATGCGTTAAGTGTTATTTTATTACCGTAATCAGAGATTGGCATTATAGTGGTATTAACGAGTATCTTTAAAAAGATTATAACGCATTTAAATGTTTCTAACTTGGAAAAGTAACGTTTTAATACTAAACTAGCTTCTTTTCCATATCATAATATCAAACTAAATTATTTTCCTATTCATATAGAACATTTTTTGTGTGTGTTATTTTCATAATGCATTTATTCTGAAGTAAACATAAAATACAAGAAAATATTTCCTTTATTATATAAACAAAACAGTTCAGTATGTTTTTTATATATTTATGTTATCCAGCTACAATTTATTGATTTTCAAAATACACACACAATATTTAATTTGAATCATATTTGCAGTTTGAGTTGCGCCGACTTGAAATACGTGAGCTTGCCTAATACAAAAGTTTACTTTATTGAAATTATTTCATTCTTTTTAGAGCGTTTGAAGTCGGTTGTATTTTTTTACGAAAATAAATTATTTCATGATTTTTAGTGACTGTATAATTTTTTATGTATTAATTACTAGAGGTTTTTTGATAAGCAAAACTGTTTGAAACAATCAAAAGATCCACAGAACAATCATTATTTTAAAACTGCTTGAGTCACCTGTTCAGGTTACATAATCAATGGGTATGAAAATAAACATTTTTAGATATTCCTTAAGAAAGAAAGAGTTGTCCATTACATTAGGCCTGATGAAAAACTAACTGTCTTTTCTAGATACATTGAAATGTCAGACATCATCGTTTCCTGCAATCGGTGTACTTCTACATTATAAAAAGAAATACAGTAACGTCTCAAGCCTTTTGGAACAATATGAAAGTTATTCCTCGGCCACCAGCACTAAAAAATCTCTCAAAAGTGGAAAATTGGTCGTTAGCACGTATAGTACCTTTGGAAAATATTATATGAAAGATTGGTTCAGCTAAAAGTGGTGTAAGTCATGTAGGGGGTTTTGTTTGCTCAAGATATAGCCTAGTCGAAATTGCAAATCATCTTCCTCTAGGACTTTCCGAAGCAGGCATAATAGTATTGATATGTTATAGTGACTGGGTAGAGAATATTAATAAACATTCCACATCTGCAAATGAAATATGTATATGAAAGATTGGTTCAGCTAAAAGTGGTGTAAGCCATGTAGGTGGTTTTGTTTGATCAAGATATAGCCTAGTCGAAATTGCAAATCATCTTCCTCTAGGACTTTCCGAAGCAGGCATAATAGTATTGATATAATATAGTAACTGGGTAGAGAATATCAATAAACATTCCACATCTGCAAATGCATGTTTAGTAATTAAAATAGTAACACTTTTAAGACAATTGACGATTATGCACTGTCACACTTCTTAGGTCCTGTAAGGAATAATTGCATTTAATTTATATTTAGACCTGTTTTACGAATTCTTTGGTTTTCACAATACACCTTTATTTGTCAATATCATACAGCTATTCACTGAAACATATATGTTTTTGTAAGTCAGAATATTCAATACTAATAAAAACAGAATTACTGTATACACAAATCAGGTCAAACGTTAAAATACATTTTTTATAGTAACCAAAACAAAATGCATTTTTCTCAATGTAATTCATTTAGGCTCCATGGCAAGAAATAGTTTATTGATCAATATGAAGCAAATGTTTCATGAAGAATTGTCTGTAGCTTCATTTAAATGGTTTCAACTAACAGCTGTAGGAATGTTATTATTATTTATTGCCTTCTCTGCACAAATGTAAACAAAATAAATGTTGAATATTTAAGGTTTTCAGAATTTTCCACAGAAACAAATATTATACTTAAACATAATATATAAGGTACCAAATAGAAACTCTCCTGGTTATTTTGGTGGTGGAACCACACTGATCGGTAAAAGAATCAAAGAGAAATTGGTGAACATACATAGAAAATAAAAAACATCGCCACAAACAAATTGAGAACCTCCACCTTTTGTTGGTAGTGGGAAAGTCTGTTAAAAATAGTACCAAAGCTAAACATTTTCCAAAATAGATATAATTAAATTATGAAAAAAAACCATCAATACAAAGTATTGTAAAATATTTTTACAAATCTATTACAAATACTATATGACGAGGTGGTGTTTGTCATCTTTTAGCTCTTTTTCTTATGTCGTAAAAAAGTGGACCTACAAATATGTATTAGAGTATGCTATTGCTATTTAAAACAGTATGATTTTTACGTTTTACCGTAGTACTCATGGTAAGACCTGGACCCGGGACCAATTTAATTTTTCATTTTGAGGTCCCTAGAGGCCAAAAACACCATCCGTTTAAATGTGTTGAGCGCGATAACTCGAGCAAAAATGATCCGATTTTGATGAAATTTGGTACAAACTTGTAAGTTTACGATTATTTGAACGAGTTCGCGATCCAGCATAATCGGACCATGGGAACGGGGGTTTATGGGGGGTTTTATTGGGTAAAAATGGGATTTCCCCATTTTTGCAATTTCTTTTTAAACCGTTTTGTATAGCTTAAAAAAAGAAATAATTTAGTATATTGAAGCGCTGTTTTATGCCTAACGGTCACGGAGAAAATTCAAAAATAGTGTAATCTAAAATTTTTAAGTTATTCTTATGGAGAAAATTAAAATTGTTGTAGTTTACTTGTTTATGGATATATATTGATACAATTTGGCAAATTTATTTATTTCATCCTATACTATTGACGTATAGTCAAAAACACTTTTTACCTTCCCCGTAGCAGCAAACCTAAGCACTCGTTAAATCTAATGTTATTTAAATAGGGAATAAATATTTCTTATTTATGGGAATATTTTAGCAAAAATGAAATTAGACTGTTGCAGGCTGGGAGTGGATTATGGAAAGAAGAACGAAGAAAACTTCTAACAGCGTCCAATTTTGGTACTGTTTGCAAGAGACGGACAACTACCAGCTGCGAGGGCTTAGTTAAAAGTCTCTTGTACAGAGATCTCCAGACTCCATCAATGTTGTATGGAAAAGAAAATG